CAATATAAAACTTAGTCTACTCGACACTTTGACTTATAATTTATAAAAACTTGATAGTTTTTATAAATAATATTACAATACTATTATACTTTACAATCATAATTATATTCAAAAATATTTACTTCAAAACTATTTTATATATAATTGCTTTTACTAACTATTCTTTTTTTTTTCTTGAAGTTTTCTTCAACCTCTTCTATAGCTAGTAGTAATTTAGGTTTAAATTAATTAATAAATAGAAAATAATAGTATAATATTATATTAGATAACTAACTATTATATAGCTTTAGTAATAATAGTTCATCTTAGAAATATATATTAGCTTTACATATATACTATTTTGTTATATAAATATACTAATTTCTTTTCTAATTGATATTATTAATCTAATAAAACAAAAATATTAAGTATAGAAACAAAGTTCTATTTTTTAAAATTTAAAAAATTAAGATAACTTAAAATATACTTAACTAATTATACTTATTAAATATACAAAAAAGTTACTAAAGGTCTAGCAATTTAGTATAGTAGTTAGATTATCAGATTGCTATACAATAGGTCTGAGGTTCAAATCCTACTGTTAACAAATTTGAATAATACCTAGACCTGTGTATTAAACTTACAGAAAACTCTGCTTATTCCTAGAAAAGAAATCCTAGGAAATGTGATAAAACTCTATAAAAAATAGTATTGTATTAAGTTAATCAGATATTAGAAGTATGACAATAATATTACACGAATAAATCTGTATTGGATATATGAGCAGAGATCTGTATAGTAGAAACTTTGAGTTAGTAAAGTAGTATAGTTTTTAATAATCATACTAGCTAACACTTGATCTAGAAGAAGATTCTTTCAAAAGATATAGATTGAGATAGGTGTAAGTAAGTTTGTTCTGTGATAAAGATCAGTAGCACTAATTTGACTTAGTAGCTAACTGAATTTGAAAGAATCTATCTTGTAAAACATCTAGAGAAATCTGATAATATATACTAGTAGAGAGCTACAATAAGAACTAGAGTTATATGAACTTTACAAGGGTCTAAACTAAGCGAATCTGTGAAATAAGCATAAACTGCTTTAGTAGATATACTTCTGAGGTTAACTAGAGCTCTGCATACTTACAATATATTAGGCAATACATATTCTGAGTGAATCTAAGTTGTGCAATAAATGAATTTATAAATAAGTTAGCTGGCTTAAGCAGTTAGATGTAATAGTGATGTTAGTTTGAAATGAGAAAAAGAGTTAATAATCAGAGTGTTTAAATAGGTAACTTACAGGCAGATTGCAGGTATGGTAACATAGTATAAAACCAACAGATAGTTAATCATCTGTATAGCAGACTACTTAAATTAGACAATAACTAATGTTGTATATATAGCTTGTTGTATACTCATCATGTAACTATAAAACCCTAGGAGATTACTACTATGATAACTCTGTAATGACAAATTAATAAAATCTAATCAGCAAAGAAAGCCACCTTAATAATAAAAAAAAAAAAAAAAACAAAAAAATTACTAAAAAAATTATTATTTTATACTTTAAAAAATTTTCTTATATTATTTTATTTTATAATTAATATAAATAATTTTGTTACTTTATTTTATTTCTATATACATTATTTTCTATTTCTATTCTAATATATATATATAATGATTTGAATTTAACCGATTTAAATCTAACCTAATTTAATTAATTCCAATATTCTAATTAATTTTAATTAAGAAACTTCCAATTAACAATTCTGCTTACGTATAATTAAAATTTTTTGGTCGAAAAGAGCATATAAGTAAACTGTAAACAAATCAATATTTAATCACCTAAACCTGCATTAAGTGTAACAAATAAAATAAAATAAATCCCATTCACCTATTGTTTTTTTTTATATGCATTCTATTATATAATAATTAATAATAATCGGGTTATAAAATACTTGCGAGGTTTTAGTAAATCTCTTAAATTAAAAAAAAAGTCTATTTTCTATATTGTCATTATCATTGTTATTAATAAGTATAATATATTATTACGCTGATATCATAAGAATATTTAAAATAATTTGTTTATTCAAGACTATATATAAATTTTATATTCGGAAAGAATTATTACCAGACGTACGTACGTACGTATGTACGTACTGTAAGTACGTACAACATTTTTTTTTTTTTTTTATACGTACCAGTTATAGGAATTAAAATTTTTCTTAAGTTTGCACTCTTGAAACGTTACATACGTAAAAACTGATAACGATAATTATTAAATGATAAATGATAGCGATAATAATATTGATACGTAGAGGTAGTACAGTAATAATGGTACGTAACTGTACGTAGCATATAAGGCTGACTAATTATTAACTTAAACGAAGCCAATCAAATTTCCTCTGAATATCGGTTGGTTAATTAATCAGATCGTAACGTTAACCAAAATATCAGAGATTTTCCAATTAAAAAATAAATAATTTTGGCAGAATTTAAGTGAGTCGGAAAAATGTCCGATTAGGGTTGGGATGTTAGGTTACCGATAACGGAATGTTCTGAGATAGACTATAAATAAAAGACGAGCAATGATTTTCTTAAAGAAATCTGAATGAGATTTTCTTGAAGAAATTTGAATGAAAAAAAAAAACTGGTTCGAAGTTCTAAATTCGAGGTAGTAATAAAAAAAAGTACCAGAAATTTATTTTGTTTTTGGTTAATTTTCTTTTGAACTTGATAGGAAAAAAAACTTAAAAACACAAGAATTAGTGAAACAATTATGACAAAAGAATAGGTTACAAGAACATGAAGTTTAGGTACACTGATCCCAATAGTTATTTTTAAATTTAATAATTCAATTATTTTATATAGTCAATTAAACACAATTGAGATATTTAAATTCCATAAATTTCATTTATTTTTTATAAACATAAAAGAAATTACATAATCATGTAATTGAAATAAAAAAAAAAAAAAAAAACCAAATACAATATGAAAGTGTATGAAAAGAGAAAAATAAAAATGCAAATTATGAAGTGTGAATTTGAGTTAAAATTTTTTTTTTTTTTTTGTTTTGTTTTTTTTTTCATAGAATGAAGCTTTATATACATAATATAGAATCTTGATTGAAAAAAAGAATCTTATAAAAAATTTGATCGAAAAAAAAAAATGAATTATGAGTGTGATGTCTAAAGAAAAAAGAATTTATATCTACACCATTTTATCTAAAAATTCTACAAACCAAAATTAAAAAGTGGCATAAAAAATTGATTGAAAAAAAAAAATATATATATATAATATACATTGCAACATCAGTAATTTTGTGATTGTGATTAATAATTTTGATCCTCAACCAATACTTCTTTCAAGATGCAGCATTGTCGTTCCAAATTTTCAAGAAATTCTTCTATTTGATCTTTTGGCATTTTGCTAACCGAAGATTTAAATCCTGATTCATCAAGACCAACTTGGTAAGACAAATAAGGAATTCCAGCGCCATAATTATGTTGAACAGATGCTGGAATTGAAGTAATCATTGTAATTGGAGAAGCAGTGAGTTGAGATTGAGGAATCATTAATGGCATTATAGGACGTTGACCAGTTAATTGAATAGTGATAGGATGTTGATTAGGAGAAGTAGGGAGTTGCAAGTTGGAATCACAAGAGCCATCAGAAACGGAACCATCAAGATTTAAACCGTTTGAATTACCATTAGCACCACCCCAATCACGTCGACGACGTTGAATTTTTGCTTTTCTCATAGCAGCGGGACGATCTCTATTATGTAATTTTGCATATAAACCACAGGCATTGCAAATAGGTTGACCTTTATCATTTTTTCTCCATAAAGGAGTTTGAGTTTGAGAGCAATTAACACAACGAATAGGAGAATCATTAGAATTAATTGCAGATTGCATAATAGGAGATTGTTGAGGTATTTGTTGTAATAATTGAGGCGGAGGAGGAGGAGGAGGAGATTGTCTTGGGGGTGATTGAGAACCAGAAGATTCAGAAGAGACACTCGAAATAGTACTCTTTCTTGATACGGGAAGAGTATAAGGAGCATTACTATTAGTTGGCTTATTTCTAATATGTAACGGTCTATGAGTATTGTACTGTTTATAGTACAAACCACAAGCGTTGCATAAAGAATGCATTCTATCTGGAGTGCGACGCCAAAGAGGGGTTTTATTTACACCACAATTGTAACACTCTAAATTTCGAGGAGGTTTTGTACTAGTTTGTTTTTTGGGAGGATTCAAATTTGTTTTCAAATCCGAAGATTCAGTAGAAGTTTGTTGAGGGGAAGGTGGAGGAGTACCAATATTACCAGCATTATTTGTTGAAGATTCAACAGAATAATCATGTTGCGCAGAGTCAGCTAATAAATATGAATAAAAAATAAAATGATAAATAAATAAATTATTAAGTCAAAATAAATATATAATATTATTAATATAAAAAATGCTTACAATCAGAAACATGAGCCATTAAGGTATCTTCATTATCAGAATTTTCAAGTTTAACGTAATCATCAACGCAATTTTCGAGACAATCGTCTTTAAAAAAGTTATGAGAGGAAAAGAAATCATCGAAAGTAATATCATCAAAAGAATTATTCAACATTTCATCAGGACTACTGCATTCACCAGGAGGACTGTTTACTTGGGAGTCTAAACCAGAAGCATTTTCCTCATTTGGACTTCTCAAAATATCGTCGTAATCATTTTCAGTAAAGGTATCAAGAGTTTGAAGTTGTTGCATGGAATTTGGATCCATAAGTAATTGTTGTTGCATCTCATTAGTAAGAACAAAAGATGAAATTAAATCATTTTCAGTCATCGCGGGATTGTAAACGATAGGCGAGGAATTAATAACTTGATAAGTTGGTATTTGCACGTGCAAAATCTTTTCGTTTGACGTAGGAATGGCGTAAGTGCCAGAAATATGTGGGGTATACAAGATAGAACCGTTCATAAAAATATGATTTTGGCCGACCATTTATTATTAATAAATATTTTTTTTTAAAAAAATGAAAAGGGGTCTAGAAGTTTTGCGTTGGACTATTTGAATGTTACGAGTGTAAATTAATTGCGCAAGAAGATATAACAGTCTTTCTATTTAGAAAAGAAGTTATATGTTGGTTGGTTGGTATATTAATTACTCAAGAAGAATAATTACGTTTAAAAAAATTTTATATATTTAAGCAAGATAAATAAATATTCAATCTACGTCTGTTCCCACGTGTTTTCCGTTGTTCATATAAAAATAGTTCATAATTTAATTAAATAATTAATAAAAATAATTAACGAACAAAGAAATAATTAAAATTTATTATTATTATTATTATTTTTTCGAATAATAATAATTAGTTATTAAGATTGTATTTTAAGGTATTTTGCACTTGGAATTTTTATTATTATTATTATTATTTTTTTTTTGACGATTTCTGACTGAAATGCAAAAAAAATTTGAGGTTTGGAAATACTGTATATATAACAAATTTTTCATAGCACACGCACAAAGAAAAAGGGCTAATTTTCTGTATTTGACCAAATAGGAAGTCTTATCTTATCACATTACACAATCAAAGTGTGCGACTAAGATAAGATTCTTTTGCATATGTGTGTATTAATAAAACGTCATTACGCATAAAAAACTAAAATTTCTGTAATACAATTTTACTACAATTTACTACAATAAACCCCTTGCATAATTTCGAGTAAAAAGAGTATGATAAAATATATCAATGTATTATATAAATAAAATATATGTATGGATTATCTGTGTAAATTGTAAATAAATTTTGGTGGGTTTTTTTAAAGTCCGAAATAAGACGAATTGTAATAAAAGAGCATTTGTAGCATTTATCCAAATGGTCATTATAATGATAAAAACAACAGCAAAAAAAAAAAAAAAATTAATGTTAGCTGCACGCGGATTCGGTGGTTTGCGACAAATGTATAAATCTGCACCATTAAAATTGAATTTGATAGGATGAATTGCAATAATGGGTTAAAAACGTGGTTTTGAGTGAATTTCTTAGTATCCATGTGCGTTTTTTTTTAAAGACATGTTATCTTTCGCCTTGCGCCGGATGCTTCTCGTCAATCTTTACTAATTTATGTTTAAATAAATTTCGCCATCTTCGTTCATTATCACACTTTTAATTATACAATGTTTATTATTATTATTATTTGTTTTATGGTACAAAGTGTTACATAAACATATATAAACACTGTTATCTGTTTGCATTGATTTTTTTTTTTTTCTTTATTTATTGCGTACACACCCGTGCGGTACATATTTTTCACTTGATATTTGTGCACGTTCCTGAAATGGCAACATTTATTCGTCCTAGCCCTTATCTCTAAAATGTGTGATGGTATTTTTATTATTGATAACTCTAATAGTTTCCTAAAATAGAGGCTATCATTTCCCATATTATTCTGTCATACCAAAAGGTATTCACCGAGTACATTTGATAAGATATGATTGATCTGATAAAATTGCATTTTAAGCTAACAAACAAGGTTGTAAATCTATTTCTAAGCAGAATTTCTTTATTCTTTATTAATTAAATGAAAATATATCTTACATGACAATACAATTACTGTATGAATGAATGACTTGATCGCATGACGGAAAATAAAAATTGTGTTAAATAATTATTAAAAGATTGGTTTCTAATGCTACTCGGATTCGGAGTCTAAAATTCGAATAGGTTGATCCAATCAGACCATTTGTTTTCTGAAATTTATTATGTATCGTGTATGCTAAATATTATAAGTTTTTCGATAAATTTCTTTAGTAAAGAATCTCAATTCTAATATTATGTAACATTGTACATAGAAATTAGGGTGTCACACTACAGCATTGAATATTTATATCTATGAAAAAAAAAAAAAAAGAAATCTGTATAAACTCATTTCCTAATTTTTTCTTAATTAAAAACGTTAAAAATATTTTAAAGTAAAGCTTATTTTTTTTTCTAATTCTATTTGAATATATCATATTATATATTATTAATAGAAATGTAATTTATTTTTGACATTTAAAACCCTAATTTTGAAAGTTTCAAGTAATTCAAGTTTGAATAATTTTCAAATATAGTATATGGTTTTTAATATATATAATATATATAAATTTTTTTAGGACTGTCAAACTTTAAGCACAATTATCATTTGTGAAACGTAAAAAAAAAAGCCTACAATATATATACTTACTATAATGTTTAGTTAAATAAGCCGTGTGACACTCTATTAAGGCATGTTATACTGGATGTCTAATAGTTCAAAGAATGAAAATATCTTTAAATTAAAGCCTATGAATTATATTTAAAGTTTTTAATTAAGCGACTTGTGTAATGCTAATCATTACTAATTATGTGTTCCATTTGATTTATCTGATTTTCTTTGGCCTTTTTTACTTATATGTACATACATCGTACGTACGTACAATGCAATTCCGTACTGTCGGCAACATACGGCAATGACGGGAAACGTGGAGTATACGTACAGTAAGTAAACTATATTCCCTTATCTCTTGAAATTATTTAATCAATTTTAGTTTAACCTACCTTTTCTTTAATACCGTAAATTATATTATAATGAAAACCATATTTAAGGTTACTATTCTTGGTTCCCAAGTGAACAACTTCAGCCTAATTTCCGGTAGAAACCGAATAACGATAAGTTTTTTTTTTTTTTTTTTTTTCAGTAACGCATTATTCTTATTGTTTTAGAAAAACTTGTTAAACATTCAAAAAAAAAAAAAAAAAAAAAAAAAAAAAAAAAAAAAAAAAAAAAAAAAAAATAAAAAAAACAATAACTAAAAAATTATAAAAATTTATTTATTATTATTT